CCAGAGGTAGAGGTTGCAGTGAGCCGAGATCACAGCACTGCACTCCGACCTGGGCAACAAGAGCGAAACTCCGTCTCGGAAAAAAAAAAGAGAGTGGGAGGAAACTTTGGGAGGCGATGGATATGTTTATGACTTTTATGGTGGTGATGGTTTCATGAGTGTATACTTGTCCCTAGACACATCAAGACGATGTCAATCATACCCCAATAAAGTGGTTTTTAAAAAATTTGCTCTGTCACCCAGGCTGGAGTACAATGGCATGATCTCGGCTCACTGCTATCTCCATCTCCCAGGTTTAAGTGATTCTCTGTGTCTCATCCTCCCAAGTAGCTGGGATTACAAGCATCCACCACCATGCCTGGCTAATTTTTGTATTTTCAGTACAGATGTAGTTTCCCATGTTAGTCAGGCTGATCTCAGACTCTCCAACCTCAGGTGATCCACCTGTCTTAGCCTCCCAAAGTACCGGGATTACAGGAATGAGCCACTGCACTTGGCCTTTTTTTTTTTTTTTTTGGCGATAATCTCATTCTATTGCTCAGGCTGGCCTATGTTTATTTTTTAAATTTCTATTGTGAATATTTCTCTTCCATTTACATACTATAACCAGCTATTGTTTGTATATAGAATAACTATTCCTTTTTGTATGTTGATTTAGTAATTGGTTATATTACTAAGTTTTCCTTTTTTCTTTTTTGAGACAGAGTCTCACTCTGTTGCCCAGGCTGCAGTGCAGTAGCCCATCTAGGCTCACTGCAACCTCCGCCTCCTGGGTTCAAGTGATTCTCCTGCCTCAGCCTCCTGAGTAGCTGAGATTACAGGCTTGTGCCACCAAAACTAATTTTTATATTTTTAGTAGAGACAGGGTTTCACCATGTTGTTCAGGCTGGTCTTGAACTCCTGACCTCTTGATTCGCCCACCTGGGCCTCCCTAAGTGCTGGGATTACAGGCATGAACCACTGTGCCTGGCCTTATTAGTAAATTTTCTTGTTAAAAATTTTTACTTTGTGGGGGGCAAGTGAGGACAGGGTCTTGCTGTATCATCAGGCTGGAGTGCAGTGGCATGAACAAGGCTCACTGCAGCCTGGACCTCCTGGGCTCAAGTGACACCCCTGCCAAAACCTCCTGAGCCCAGCTAATTTTTTCTTTTTAATTTTTTGTAGACAGGGTCTCGCTCTGTTGCCTAGGCTGATCTTGAACTCCTGGACTCAAGCAATTCTCCCACCTCAGCCTCCCAAACTGTTGGGATGACAGGTGTGAGTCACCGCACCCAGCCTGGTTAGTAATTTTTAAATGCTCTTATTATGTTTTTGCTTTGTACAAATCATATCCTCTAAATAAAGGATAATTTTGTCTTTTTAAATTATTATATTTATTTAATTCCCTTAACTGGGGAAGAGAGACATCATTTCCATAGAAAGCTCCTTGGAGGATACAAAACTTGGGTAATGTTGTAGGTATAGTAGCATAGACACTTAGTCCTACTTCCCAATAATGGAGTAAATTAATAGAATGCTTGGTGGCCCCTAGAACTCGCTGCTTATTACATCATAGAAAAACTCAGCATAATAGTGATTTGAAACAAGTTCACGGTAAGAACTAGAGAGTTTTCTTTTCTGGATTACCCTGAGAGGCATTAGAACCAGAGCAACTTCACCTTGAATGGAGGCGGGTAGAGACCTGCTGGGCTGCATTCCCACGAGGTTAGGTATTCTTAGTCACAGGATGAGATTGGTATCACAGGACACAGGTCATAAAGACCCTGCTGATGAAACAGGATGCAGTAAAGAATCCAGTCCAAACCCACCAAAACCAATATGGGAAGGAAAGTGACCACTGGTCATCCTCACTGCTCATTAAACACTTACTATATATAACGTATTAGCATGCTAAAAGACACTCCCATCAGCTCCATGATAGTTTCCAAATGCCACGGCCAGGTAGGGAAACCTATATGGTCAAAAGAGGAACCTTTAGTTCCAGGAATCTCTGCCCATTTACCAGAAAACTCATGAATAATCCATCCCTTGTTTAATGTATAAGCAAGAAATAACTATTAGTATACTCAGTCCAGCAGCCCTTAGTCCTGCTCTGCCTACAGAGTAGCCATTCTTTTACTTTTTTGCTTCTCTAATAAACTTGCTTTCACTTCACTCTATGAACCCAAATTCTTTCTTGTCAGAGATCCAATAATCTTCTCTTGGGATTGGGTTCCCTTTCTGGTAACATTAACATCACAACTAAGTGACTTAGCCTGATATAAATGTACACAAGTATATGAAATGTGAATCCAGCTAGTATCATTTTCAATAAATTGGCATCAATTTAAAACTTTTGGAGAATCCACAAAATTCACATTGTCCAAATCCAATCCACAAGAATGATTAAAAACAGTGTAAGACCCCAAAGCCCTCACAACGCTGGTTTACAGGAAACCAGTCCAGATCCAGACCACAAGAGAGGGCTCTTTGATCTCACGCGAGAAAGAATTCAGGGTTGGGCAGACAGTGGTGACTCACACCTGTAATCTCAGCACTTTGGGAGGCCGAGGCTGGTGGATTTCCTGAGGTCGAGAGTTCGAGACCAGCCTGACCAACATGGAGAAACTGATCTCTAATAAAAATAGAAAATTAGCTGGGTATGGTGGCACATGCCTGTAATTTTAGCTACTCAGGAGGCTGAGGTCAAAGAATCACTTGAACCCGGGAAGTGTAGGTTACAGTGAGCTGAGATCTCTCCATTGCACTCCAGCCTGGACAACAAGAGTGAAACTCTGTGTCAAAAAAAAAAAAAAAAAAAAAAAGAATTCAGGGCAAGTCCATACAGTAAAGTGATAGCAAGTTTATTAAGGAATAGGCTGGTAGCGGTGGCTTCAAGCCTGTAATCCCAGCACTTTGGGAGGCCGAGGCGGGCAGATCAGGAGGTCAGGAGTTGGAGACCAGCCTGGCCAACATGGTGAAGCCCCATTTCTACCAAAGATACAAAAAATTAATCGGGCGTGGTGGCAGACACCTGTAATCCCAGCTACTCGGTAGGCTGAGGCAGGAGAACTTCTTGAATCCAGGAGGTGGAGGTTGCAGTGAGCTGAGATTGCACTCCAGCCTAGGTGACGGGGCAAGACTGGCTAAAAAAAAAAAAAAAAAGAAAAGTAAAGGAATAACAGAATGGCAACTCCATAACAGGTTGCCCATTTTTATGGTTATTTCTCGATGATATGCTAAACAAGGGATGGATTATTCATGCCAGAGAGGGTAACTTCCTGACATTACCATGGCATTCGTAAACTGTCATGGTGTTCATGGGAATGTAGCAGTGAGGACGGCCAGAGGTCAGTAAAGCCGGCTTCTTCTTCTTCTTTTTTTTTTTTTTTTTTTAAATAAAGACGGGGTTTCACCATGTTGGTCAGGCTGGTCTTGAACTCCTGATCTCAGGTGATCCGCCAGCCTTGGCCTCCAAAGTGCTTGGATTACAGGCGTGAGCTACCGCGCCTGGCCAAACCAGCTTCTTTATGGCAAACTGTTTTATCAGCAAGATCTTTATGACCTGTATTTTAGGCTTTCTATCTCATCCTGTGACTTAGAATGCCTTAACCTTTGGGAATGCAGCCCAGTAGGTTTCAGCCTCATTACTTAGCTCCTATTTAAGATAAAGATGGAGTTGGCCGGTCATGATCTCTCACGCCTGTAATTCCAGCACTTTTGGAGGCCGAGGCGGGAGGATCACGAGGTCAGGAGATGGAGACCATCCTGGTCAACATGGTGAAAACCCATCTCTACTAAAATAGAAGAAAAACTCAATGTAAAAAAATATATATATATCCAGGCATGGTGGCGTGCACCTGTAGTCTCGGCTACTCAGGAGGCTGAGGCGGGGGAATTGCTTGAACCCCGGAGGCGGAGGTTACTGGACTCCAGCCTGGCGACAGAATAAGACTCCATTTCATTAAAAAAAAAAAAAAAAAAAAAAAAAAAAGATGGAGTTGCTCTGGTTCACACGCTCCTGACACCTCCGACATTGGTTGTTTTTGAGACAATCTCACTCTCACTGTCTTCCAGGCTGAACCCACCTCCCTGGTTCAAGCGATTCCCCTGCCTCAGCCTCCTGAGTAGCTGGGATTACAGGCGCACGCCACCACATTCAACTAATTTTTGTATTTTTAGTAGAGACGGGGGTTTCACCATGTTGGTCAGGCTGATCTCGATCTCCTGACCTCGTGATCTGCCCTCCTTGGCCTCGGAAAGCATTACAGTCGTGAGCCACCGCGCCCGACCGGGTTGGTGGTGTTTTTTTCAGGTGGTGTTTTTCCTTCCCAATCGTACTCTAAGGATTGTATTCAGTATGTCCTTTGAGTTTCTTCACTGAATTGTAAACTTCTGAAGGTCGGGGCATTTTGGCTTTAAGTGTTTCTGTCTCCTACCCTCTCCCAGATCTTACCACGTATTAGATATGCAATACATTTGTGAGTAAACTACACTTTAGGCCGTAAAGGCACCTGTGCACAAAAGGGCAGTCCAGTTCCGCGCTTAAATCTGTTCTGTGTCAATATCCGTCCGTCAATAAGTATTGTCGATCAATTTAAGGAAGTAGTGGATTTCTGGTGACAAACGTTTTCCTTTCCAACTGAAGTTTAACAAAGAGAAGCTGACCCCAAATCTACATACTGGTGTAGCCCCAAACAAAAATACTGCAAAAGCTCCACCAGCCTCTCCCAGTCCATCCAGAGTTTTACAAATAATAGACGCTGGCAGCAGGAAACCAAAAAGCCGCTGGGGTTGGGTGAATCGGCTCTGGGGCTCGTTCTTTTCACTACCACGCCAGAAAAGCGAAAGCCTAAGCCAGGATCCAAAAGACCAGCCCTGACCCAGCACCTGAGAGCGCATTTCCCCAGCCAGCACGGAGCATGCGCGGGCCGCTTGGCTTGGAGAAAGCTCAGCCGGGTCCGCGCTGCCGTCGCAGCCAATCAGAGGGAGGGAGCCGCCCGGACTCTGTGACGAGCGGAGGGAGGGGAGGTAGGTGACTGGCAGGGCAGGACAGATGGTGGACGCGGGGGCGCGCGCGGAGCAGGCGGAAGGAAGCGCGCCTCTCCTGAGCGCGCGCCCGGTGGGGCCGGCCGCGACTCGCCGCTCGCACGCCCTTGGGCCGGGGCAGTGAGCTCGCTGTTCCTTCCGCTTGCTGTGTGAGCTGAGCCAGTGTATGTGCGGCAATAACATGTCAGCCCAGCTGCCCGCCGTTGTCCCCGCTGCCCGGAAGGCCACCGCCGCGGTGAGTGGCGTAGGCGTGGGCTCGATGGGCCCACTGGGCCCGCCACCAGCGGCTGCCCCTCGCGCGGGGTGGGCGTTGCGGGCGGGTGGCGGCCTGCGGGCGAGGACGCTCCTCCCGGCCCGGGTGGGGTGCGGGTGGTCGGCGCGGCGGGGCCCGGGGTGGGGCGAGGGCAGCCGGGGGTCGCAGCCAGCGCGAGGGCCAGCCCCCGGCCACCCGGCCCTGCATTGCGGAGGTAGTGCGGCCCCGGGACCCCCGCGGCCCGGCCCGGCCCTGGGCAGGGCGTCCGCTTCTGCTGCGTGTTTCTGCCTGGTGTGTGGGTGAGGGAAACCTAAGTCCTCCGGGAAATCGCTTTATTGTCACCTCGCACTCTTGTCCTCAATGAAAGAAGTTTGAAGATTTAGTGTCCTGTATGGTCAGAGGTACTGTTTTTTAGGAAACTCGTGTGTGAGAACTCAAACTTACTTTTGTCCGCAGAAGCTTGCTTTTGTGATGGAAAAATTCTACAGGGTATGTGAGATGTTCCGGATTTGACTTGAAAGAGATAAACTGTTTTTCTTAGAATGTGCAGAATGTCTAACTGGGACCTCTGAGTGCTAACCCCCTCCTCCATTCATTATCTCAGGAAATAAAGGGAGAGAAGTTGATTGGAATTTTTGCTATTTAAAAGAGGTGCTGAAGATAGTGGTGTGTAAATTCCCTCATAGGTTTCATTCCGTTTTCCACCTTAAACAAACTAGTGTGTAACAATTCTGTGTGGGTTTATTTAAGCATTGCCTATTAATTTTTCCTCTTCTCTTATAGGTGATTTTCCTTCATGGATTGGGAGATACTGGGTAGGTACCATTATTATTAATAGTACCTAATGAAACTGGATCATGCAACTTTACGCGTTCAAAGGTTTAATGTTTAAGTACTCTAAAATTGTATTTTAAAAGATTGCTAGTTAGTATCTCTTACAGTGCGGTGATTTTAATTTTTGAAAACCCCCAGAATTTTCCCATTATCATCTTAAATTTCTTGATTTTTAACTCTGGTTTCTGGAACATAATAAAATTAGAAATTCCTCATTAGTTGCCTTGGGTGTTGGATAACAGAGATCAGTGGAGTGTTAGTAGGGACGATGTGCAATTGAGAGCTTTCCAGGGCAGTTAAAATTTCAGAGCAGACTGAAGAGAAGTAGTTGATTTCGATAAGAGAACTAGTGGCAGCATAAGGCATACAGCATTCTGAATAGGGGGATTAAATCTTCGGTGGTTCAGGCCTGTAATCCCCGCACGTTGGGAGGCCGAGGCAGGCGGATCATAAGGTCAGGAGATCAAGACCATCCTGGCCAACATGTGAAATGCCATCTCTACAAAAAATATAAAACTTAGCTGCGCGTAGTGGCGTGCGCCTATAATCCCAGCTACTTGGGAGGCTGAAGCTGGAGAATCGCTTGAACCTGGGAGGCAGAGGTTGAAGTGAGCCGAAATCGAGCCACTGCATTCCAGCCCGGGCAACAGAGCAAGACGAAGACGACTCCGTCTCAAAAAAAAAAAAAAAAAAGAAAGAAAGAAAAACAAAATGAATTGAAAGGCAGGGGAAGCAATTCAAAGATTTATTTGAAGCTTATGAAACACATTTTGTCGTACTAACTGTGCTTATTTTTATTTTATTTTGTATTTTGTTTGTTTACATCTTTTGTTATTTTTAGAGATGGGCTTACTCTGTCACCTAGGCTGGATTGCAGTTGTGGGATCATAACTCACTACAGCTTTGAACTCCCGGGCTCAAGTGATCCTCCAGCCTCAGCCTCCCAAAGCACAGAGATTAGAGGCAGGAGAGCCACCAGAGCCTGGCCTGTTTGTTATACTGACTTTAAATACATTATTTATCTTTCACTCAAGCTTTTTCTATATTGAGGCGTTTTTGTTTTTATATTTAATTTAAATCCGTGATAATCTGTGAAACTTAAGCAAAATATGAATGTTGTTTAAAAAATGCAGAAATAGGAGAAAACTGAAGATAAATAAAGTTTGATAAAGTAGCCCCAAAACAACTAAATCTTCTTTAAAATGAGCCGTGGGCAGGGCCTGGTGGCTCATACCAATAATCCCAGCACTTTGGTAGGCTGAGGTGGGCAGATCACCTGAGGTCAGGAGTTCAAGACTAGCCATTCGAGACCAACATGGAGAAACCGTGTCTCTACTAAAAATACAAAATTAGGCCGGGCATGGTGGCTCAAGCCTGTAATCCCAGCACTTTGGGAGGCTGAGGCGGGTGGATCATGAGGTCAAGAGATCGAGACCACCCTGGTCAACATGGTGAAACCCCGTCTCTACTAAAAAACACAAAAAATTAGCTGGGCATGGTCGCGCGTGCCTGTAATCCCAGCTGCTCGGGAGGCTGAGGTAGGAGAATTGCCTGAACCCAGGAGGCGGAGGTTGTGGTGAGCCGAGATCGCGCCATTGCACTCCAGCCTGGGTAACAAGAGCGAAACTCCAGCTTAAAAAAAAAAAAAATACAAAATTAGCCAGGAGTGGTGGTACACGCCTGTAATCCTAGCTACTTGGAAGGCTGAGGCAGGAGAATCACTGGAACCCAGGAGGCGGAGGTTGCAGTGAGCCAGGATCAAGCCATTGCACTCCGGCCTGTACAACAAGAGTGAAATTCCATTTCAAAAAAAAAAAAATGAACCACTGGGTCTGGTGCTGCTCACTCCTTTAATCCCAGCACTTTTGGAGGCCAAGGTGGGTGGTTCACTTGAGGTAAGGAGTTCAACACCAGCCTGGCCAACATGGTGAAATCCAGTCTCCACTAAAAATACAAAAATTAGCCAGGTGTGGTGGTGCATACTTGGAATTCCAACTACTAGGGAGGCTGAGACAGGAGAAGCACTTGAACCTGGGAAGCCACCTGTGAGCCAAGATCACATCACTGCACTCCAGCCTGGGCCACAGAGTCACAGAGTGAGACTATGTCTCCAGAAAACAAAAAACAAAAATTAAATGCCACTGGACTAGGGCTTTTTTTTTTTTTTTTTTTTAAATAGAGTCTTGCTCTTGTTGCCCAGGTGGCACAATCTTGGCTCATTGCAACCTCTGCCTCCCAGGTTCAAGCCATTCTCCCGCCTCAGCCTCCCGAGTAGCTGGGATAACAGGCATGCACCACCATGCCCTGCTAACTTTGTATTTTTAGTAGAGAGAGGGTTTCTCTGTGTTGGGTACGTTGGTCTCGAACTCCCGACCTCAGGTGATCCACCTGCCTCTGACTCCCAGAGTGCTGGGATTACAGGTGTGAGCCACCATGCCGAGCCATTTTTTTTCTCTTTTTTAAAGACAGGGTCTGCCCTGTCACCCTGGCTGGAATGCAGTGGTGTGATCTTGGCTCACTGCAACCTCCGCCTTCCAGGTTCCTGGGCCTCCCAAGTAGCTGGGACTACAGGTGCTTGCCACCATGCCCAGCTAATTTTTATATTTTTAGTAGAGACAGAGTTTTACCATGTTGGTCAGGCTGGTCTCGAACTCTTGACCTCAAGTGATCCGCCTGCCTCAACCTCCCAAAGTGCTGGGATTGCAGGCCATACCTGGCCTAGATTAGTTCTTAAAAGTGATTTCCTATTTTTTGTCTAAGTAGAGGTATGGAATACTGACCTTATGTGGAGTTACAGAAAAGGTTGCAGGACTCTTTCTGGCAATCTAGTAGTCCTGTGAAAATGAACTTATTTTACCAAATGAAACTCAAATAGAATTTCTATTTTATGGCCAAAGTAGTAGAATGTCTGTTTTGTCGCCAAACCTTAATTGACGTTGCAAGTCAGAGTAGATTGCTACCCTGTAACTTTACCAGTAATGAGAGCTTCGGTGCCTGAATGACTAGTACAAGCCAAAAAAACTTGTCTAGGCAGATTCCACAGACTGAAGTTAAGTGAAAATGGTGAAGGTTATTAGGATAAAAAATACCAAGAACATCCATGACATCTTGACCAAAAGTTAAGTTTATATTAAAAAATTATCCTCCTATTTAACCTCTTGGGATTTAAAAAAATAAAAACAAAGGTCTCCAGTTCTGAAAATATTTGGTGGAATAGTGCTAAGGAAAAGCTGACTCTAGATTGGCTCTATGAGTGCATGATGAAACTTTGAACCTGTCAGTCTGATAAGTGGCAATTTGATATTTAAGTTACTATAGTCTCCCTTTACCCAAAGGTTTGTTTCCCATGGTTTCAGTTACCCGTGGTCAAGTGTGGTTCGAAATAAAAAATTCCAGAAATCATTTATAAGTTTAAAATTGTATACCATTCTTATATTTTATTAATTACTTTTTAATTTAATTTATTTATTTTTATTTATTTATTTTTGAGATGGAGTCTCACTTTGTCACCCAGGCTGGAGTGCAGTGGCGCGATGTTGGCTCACTATAATCTCCACCTCCCAGGTTCACACAATTCTCTGTCTCAGCCTCTGGAGTAGCTGGGTTTACAGGCACCCACTACCACACCCAGCTAATTTTTGTATTTTTAGTAGAGATGGGGTTTCACTATCTTGGCCAGGCTGGTCTTGAACTCCTGCCCTCATGATCCACCCACCTCAGACTCCCAAAGTGCTGGGATTACAGGCAGGAGTCACCACGCCTGGCCAGTATTTATTTTATTTTTCATTGAGACAGAGTCTTGCTCTGTCACCCAGGCTGGAGTGTAGTGTTGTGATCTTGGCTCACTTCAACCTCCACACCCGGGTTCAAGCAATTCTTATGCCTCGGCCTCCTGAATAGCTGGGATTACAGGTGTGTTCCACCACATTCAGCTAATTCGTTTGTACTTTTAGTGGAAACAGGGTTTCACCATGTTGGCCAGGCTGGTGTCCAATTCCTGACCTCAAGTGAACCACATACCTTGGCCTTTCAAAGTGCTGGGATCATGGGAGTGAGCCACCATGCCTGACCTCAATGGCTCATTTTAGAGAAGATTTAGTTGTTTTGGGGATATTTTATCAAAATGCCTTTATCTTCAGTTTTCCTCTATTTCTGCAACTTCTTCTGAATGTTGTGATGAAATCTCATTCCATTCCACCCAGTTCACGAATCTTTCCTTTACCCAGTGTATCATACCGTATGCATTCACCATCCGTTAGTCAGTGGGTAGCCATCTGGGTTACCAGATCAACTGTTGCAGTATTGTTTGGCTTTTTTTTTTTGAGACAGAGTCTCGCCCTGTCACCCAGGCTGGAATGCAGTGCCACGATCATGGCTCACTGCAACCTCTGCCTTTTGGGTTCAAGTAACTCTCCTGCCTCAGCCTCCCAAGTAGCTGAGACTACCACACCCAGCTAATATTTGTTCTTTTAGTAGACACGGGGGTTTCACCATGTTAGCCAGGCCAGTCTGGAACTCCTGACCTCAAGTGATCTGCCTGCCTAGGCCTCCCAAAGTGCTGGAATTACAGGCATGAGCCACTTCACCCAGCCTGTAGTGCTTTTATCCAAATAATTCTTACAGTGCTTAATGATGGCCCCAAAGGGCAAGAGAAGTGATGTCAGCATATTGTTGTAGTTTTATTATTGTTTATCTCTTCCTATGCCTAATTTATACATTAAACTTTATCACAGGTATTATGTATAGAAAAAAACATAGTATATATAGGGTTTGGTGATATCCATGGATTCAGGCATCCACTACGGGTTTTAGAGCATCCCCTACTGTTTATTTCTGGAATTTTCCATTTAATATTTTTGAACCACAGTTGACTGTGGGCAGCTGAAACCATGGAAAACAGAACTTCGGGTGAGAAGGACTAGAGTATTTAAACATTATGTAGTCAAGGAACAGTTATCCCATTACATTTAACATTTAGTAT